CCTTATGTGTATGCTTGCTGGCAGATTCGTTGGAAGGTTAGGAATGAGGAGGTCCGCTCTAATGAGCGCGAGGCCGATGGCAGTGATGCTATGGTATGAGTAACTTATCTATCTATCTATCTTGGACAGATTGTTGGCCTTTGATTGATGCAGGGCATCCCCCGCAACACGCAAGTTGCCAGCTGCGGGTGCGTACATATGTAGGGCTGTTGTGTGTGCCTCAGCATCATCACCTGTCCCGCCATCGCCCTTCCTCCTCCCTCGTGTTCAGGTGGCTGCCACACGCCCGGGCAAGATTGAGGGGCCCGCCTTTGACCTGGAACTTCTGAGGCTGGTCAGGGCCACCTGCCGCATGGCTGGTGGCATGAGAGCGACAGGCCCCAAGCGCCGCCCTCCCAAAGAGGTGAGGGACAGAGGATTACTCGGCAGCAATGAAATTTCTGCATTGCAAAGCGGAGGCCAGCGGAAGTTTTGACCATGTGCTGCAAAGCACTTCTGCTCACATGGGGCAACGGCATGTGCCTCACTACACTGTGCAGGCATCCCGCCACCAGAGTTGCGTAAGCGACACTCCATTCACCTGATATCGTCCACCGACTGTTGCACTGCTGTTCCTCTCATGTCCTGATCAAACGTAATCTGGCTCGCCGTCCCACTGCCTGAAGTTCCCTGCCGACACCCCTAACCTTGCTTTGTGTGCCACCTTGCCGCAGAAGCCCTGCACCGCACCGAAGCACCCAGCAGCAGGGAAGGTGTCCCACGTCGGTGTGGTTGCCAAGTTCAAGAGCGGCAAGACGGTCGTGACAGCCGAGGCCGAGGCCGAGGCCACCGCCTGTGCTAGGGACGCCCGCTCCCAGGGAGCTGGCGCAGCGAACGTCGATGGTGAAAGCCAGGCGGATCTCGACGCCCGCAGCGGCGCGGCTCGCGAGGAGGTTGCCGGTGTGCAGCGGCAGGACATCAAGGGCCGGCAGGAGGGCGGTTTCCTTTTGCAGGTGAGCGGGCATGTGGGCACGCTAGACATAGCGCTCTGCCCGGCTCAACCCTGCCGCCGCCGCCCCGCAGCCAGCCTGGTACTCCTTTTAACAAAACCTTACTCCTGATCGCGGTCACGCATCCCATTCCCGCCCGACAGGCCGTCCAGCCCCTTGACACGGCCCAGGGAGACGGCGGCGCAGAGTCACTGGCAGGCGCCTCGGGGCCCAAGGTTCCAGTTGCCGTGCCGGTCGGCGCCCGCATGTGCTCCGCTGACGTGGCCGTCCTGGTCGCCGATGCCTTCTCAGATGGACTCGAGTTTGCCGCTCTGCAGGAGCAGCTGCGCCAGGAAGAGGCGGTGGCGCGGCTCCTTGAGGCCGAGGCCGCAGCCGAGAAGGAGTGCGAGGGCCGCATTGCGGCGGAGACGCTGCTGCGGCGCAGGCGGCGCACCAATGACGTGCTCGCCGTGGAGAACGAGTTGCTTCAGGAGCAGCTGCGGCGGGCAGAGGCGGACGCAGCAAGCCACGAAGCGCGCGCCGCAGCCGCCGAGGACGCGTGGGCGCAGCAAACGGCGCGCGCCGATGCGGCCGGGGTGCTTGCAGCGGACCAGGCTGTGCGCGCGGCTGCTGCTGAGGCGCGCGAGGCGCAGCAGGCCGTGCGGGTTGCAGCCGCTGAGTCGGCAGCCGTCGCGGCGCGGTGCGAGGCCGCCGCGCGGCTCGAAAGGCAGAGGGGCGAGGTTGCTTCCAGCCATGCTGCCGCTGAGAAGGCCGCCGGCGAGATCCGAGGGCTGCGCGCACGCGTCGCCTACCTGACTGGTCAGCTTGAGCGCAGACCAGTGAAGGTGATGCCAGCGCGCAGCCTGCCGGTGGCACCCCGCAAGCTGGAAGTGGAGCTGCGCAGCCAGCTCGCGGTGGCCGAGGAGCGGCTGTCGGCGCAACAGGCGGCGGCGGCGGCGGCGCGCGCCGGCCAGCAGCAGGCCGAGGCAGAGCGCCTGCAGCTCGCGGCGCAGCTGGAGGGCGCGCGGCTGGGCGTGCAGAGGTTTGAAGAGAGGGTGGCCGCCATGGAGGGCGGCCTTGTTGTGGTGAGGGAGCGTGTGGCGCAGCTGCAGCAGGCGGAGGCCCTGGCGCGCCAGGGGCAGCGGGAGGCAGAGGAAGGCGTGCGGGCGGCCGACGCGCGCGCAGCCGCCGCTGAGGGTGCGGCCGCCTCAGCCGAGGCGGTGGCTGCCGAGTCACTCGCGGCGGCCAAGGCGGCTGCCGCGCGGGCGGCGGAGCAGGTGGCGGCGGCACAGGAGGAGGCTGAGCACGAGCGTGCGGCCAAGGTGGCGGCGCAGCAGGCACAGGCCGCAGCAGAGGCGGCCTTGGCTCAGGAGCTCAGTCGGGGAGAGCAGCAGCAGCAGGCGCACACTGCAGAGCTGCAGCGCGTGGGACAGCAGGCGGCGGCGTTCGTAGTGGCCGCCGCTGCGACGGCGTCTGAAGCCGCGGCGCAGCTGCAGCAGATGCAGCAACAGGTCGCAGCTGAGCAGGCAGAGAGGCGGGTGGCCGCCGAGGCGCTGGCTGTGTCGCTCGCGGCGGCCGAGGATGAGAGTCGGCGGCAGCGGCGGGAGTGCGGACGCCTGCAGCAGCAGCTGGAGCGTGAGAGGGCAGAGCGGCGGAGCGCAGAGGCAGCGGCGGTGGTGGTCTTGGAGGCAGCGCGGTCTGAAGCTGCCCGCCTGCAGGAGCAGCTGGCGGCAATTCAGGCCCATCAGCGGGCCTCTCTGGAGCCGAGCGGCGATGCGAGTGCCACCGACGGGGTCTCGACCCCGCAGCCTGTGACGCCCGGCCCTGAGCCTGGCGCCGGGGCGGCGCGCCTGCTGAGGCGTAACAGCAGCGGCGCCAGCAGCGGCAGCAGCCGGGCCGGCAGCTTCATCCTGCGACGCCTGCAGGCGGACGACGCGTCGCCGGTGCGCACGCCACAGCGGCTGCAAAGCCTGGGCATGCGCGCCAGCAGTGAGGGTGCTGCGAGCGACGAGGGGCGCGAGAGCGATGACGGGCTCAGGGCCGCAGGCTCTGATCCAGCCCGCGGCGGCGGCCGGCGCTGCACTTGGATCAGGGTAGCAGCAGCGGCGGCAGCAGCGACCGCAGGCGTGGTTGCCGCGGCGGCAGCCGGCGGGCTGGTGGGCTCGTGGGTCGGTGGCGGCCGCCTGCGGCGCGGGCACAGGTGCTCGTAGGGGGCGATGGTTCAGTATGTCGGTGGCCCCCTCTTCATAACGCGCTGTTTGGGGGATCCAACTCCTCGTCGACCAACACAATTTCAGGTTTCAGGGAGAAGTCCAAGATCGCATCCTTGCGGGGGCGTTTGTTCAAGGTTGTTACGCAGGGCTATGGGGGCGCTGCTCCGCCGGGCGCACGGCGCTAGCGGTCAGCCCCCCTCCTGCGACAGCCTGTTGGGGGTGTTGAGGGCTGCGCCCACCTCAATTACTTGGAACCTGCCTGAGCTGCTGTAGAAAACATGCGCCAGCAGAAGGCATTGCCGTAGTTTCCCTTTTACCAGGGACCATGCAGGGTTGGGGTATGGGTCTTGGCCAATTTCAGGCTATTTCGCTGCACCTTGCGCAGCAACGCGCGCAGCAGGCCGTCCTCCCATCCGTTGTAGGCGCGCACCACCGCACTCGTTTTTCACTGGACCCCGCCCCCTGCTCAGGGTGGCGCTTGAGGCTGCCCAGGTTCTCGAATTGGCTCTCATAACAGCACCTCAAGGCACAGACTCCCTAGCCAACCAACAAATTCCCCGTTCAATGTGCCCTTTTGAATGCATGGTCTCTGCCCTTTGCCTGGTCGTTTTCCCACATCATTGGCTTTGGTCCCTGGTGCAGACCGTACCCAGAACTGAGAACTTGGAGCTGTATGTAACAATGGGCTAATGAGGTTCAGGTTCCAAGGTTCGCATGTGCACCTTTAAGGGCCGTCATGGGCAGGCTGAGACCCGGCTTCAATGCTGCACAGACCCGCACTTTTCTGCTGTCGTGCTGACGCAAGTGAAGAAGCAGTGAGCGAACACAGGCCCATTGGCAGGAGTTACTCAAACGAACGCACACACGCTCTGGAACAAGAACACTTTGACCGACAAACCGCGGCGACGCGCAGCCGCCCAATGCGGCCGCTGGGCTGCCGGCTCTCAGGGCGCACCGCAGGCACTGCCGCGTGCGACGCGCGCCCGCGCGCACGCCTGCAGGCTCGCCGGCGGGTGCCGTCACATACAACAAGACTGTGATTGGCAGTGGCTAAGGACAGCGCCGCCACCATGCCGCCAAACCCACCCTCAGAAGGCGCCGCGGGCCCACACACGCTGGGGCGCGGCGCAAACACGCACCATGCAAGCGGAGCGTGCCGCCTCCTGCTCAAGCCCGCAACCCTCCCGCGCCGCCCGCCGCTGCTGATCCCCGCCGTGCTGGCGCGCGCGTGCAGCACGCATGCGCAGTGCAGGCGCGCATGTACACGCGCACGCGCACCTCCCCCTTGCGCGGGGCGGCTGCGGGCTTGCTGCGCCCTCCCTCCCCCCGAAACACCGCCACCGGCTCAGATGGGCACCGCGGAGAGGCCCTCCGACTTGAGCCAGTCCTCGACGCTGGGCAGGTCCCCATCAAACTCATCAGCCTTCAGAAACTCGCCCGCCCTGATGCCCGCCGCCGCGCACAGCTGCGCCAGCTTGGCATCGCCGCCGCCCTCCGCCGCGGCCGCCCTGAACGCCGCGCCGGCGAGCTTGCGCTTGGGCTCCGCGCCCTCGCACTTCGACAGCAGCTGCGGCAGCTCGGAGAGCGCGAGGGCGCCCTTGGCGGCGGCGGCGCCGACGACGCGGCCCAGCAGCTCGGGGGCCTTTGGGATGTCCAGGCTGTGAGAGGGGAGGGGCGGTGTGCGTGTGCGTGTGTGTGTGCGTGTGTGTGTGTGTGTGCGCGCTTCGGGCTTGGTTGAGGGAGGAGACGGAAGGGGCGCGATGGGGCACCGACCCGCGGGCGAGCGCTCGTCTGCGGCCGAGGCCCAAGCCGCGCAGCGGCTTGAACTCCCGCGCCATGCCCGTGGCGCCAGTCAAGCCGCGCAACGGCTCCAGACCCGGCCCTGTTCTTGTGCCCTTGAACCAACACTCCCAAACTCCCCCTTGAAACGGCCCCAACAAGCCACCACACCCCACCGATGAAGCCGCGCCCGACCCAGACCCCATATCACAGACGCGATGACAGCCCCCTTACACAGCTGCATGATGCCACCGACAAACCCTCGATGCCAAAACCCCCTGAAAACCAATGCACACGCCCGCACCTCAGGTCCTCCAGCCCCTCCGTATAGTGCGCGAGCCCCTTCAACAGCTCCGCCCCCTTGACCACCCCCTCCGCCGCCAGCCGCACCACCAGCCCCGCGAGCGCCGCCTGCTGCTTCTCCGCGGTCGCGTCGAACACCTCCGACAGGCCGGTGACCACGACGCCGGACAGGTCAACCACGCCGGCCGCCTTTGGCGCGTCCCGCAGCTCCCGCACGCAGGTGGCCGCCTCTGAAAAGTCGCCGACGGACGCAAACTCGCGGAAGAGCGACTTTGACTTCGACTCAATGTCGTCGGGGCCGAGGGGCTTGCCAGATGCGGCGGGCCTGGGTGGTGGGGGGAGGTGAACGGGTGGTTGAGGGAGGATCGGCGGTGCGTTGAGGGGTTGACCGGCGGGAGAAGATCGGATCAGGGCGAGTGGGGCGGGGCAAGGCAGGGGCTGGAGTTTGAGCCGGAGCGAGGCCGAGTGCCTGGCGGTGGCGCAGGCAGGGGACAGGGAGGGGCGGGCGTTGTGCAGACGCGCACCTGGCAGCTGCAGCGGGCGCGGCCGCAGGCGCCGCGGCGGCGGGCGCCGGTGCCGCGGGCCGCGGCGCCGGCCTGGCGAGCGGCTCCGGCGGGCGGTACTCGCCCACCAGGGCGCTGCTGCCGGCAAAGGCCCGGGGGCCGCCGCTGCGCTTGCCCACAAACTCCCAGCCCTCGTCGCCGCCGCGCAGAGGGGGCAGCAGGCTGAAGTCGTCCTGCGTCAGGCCCGCCCTCTGCAGGGAGCGCACACGCAAATTGGGGGGGGGGGGCGAAAAGCGGACGTGAGAGCGCGCAAGGGGTGGTCAGCGGCGCCGAGAGGTGGTGAGTGACAGAGCGGCTGCGGGACGCCCCACCAGCCTCGCCCTACGCCCAGGTCGAGGCCCGGAGGGCAGGCGCCCAAACGCTGGCACCACGCCGCCTCGGGCGCTGCCGCGCGACTGCTTCAATAGCTCCCTCCTCTCGTAGCGCCGCGCCCGCGGTCACACCCGCACCGGGCAACATACCACTACCGCGCGGGCCGCCTGCAAGCGTGCCCACTACCGTGCCCGCGTCCACTCCCGCACACCGCCGCACCCAAGCTGGGCCAGCAGAAAACAACACGCACCTGCACCGGCAGCGCGGGCAGGTCGGCGATGCGCGCGACGGTGACCATGCCCAGCTCCGCCTCCGCCTCCGCGTGCACCTCGTCCAGCTTCTTGGCCGTGAACGTCTCGCGGCGCGGCACCCTGGGGCGGTGGGGAAGCAGGGGTGGGGGCGTCGGCTTGGACGAGGCCAGGGATTGGCCCGGGGGACCTTGAGGATGAGGAGGCGCAGCGCCGACGAGCGGCTGGCGGCCGTGCAGGCCCCTCCGGCCGCGGCTTGCGTTTAAGTGCAGACGTCCCTGCTGCCGCGCCGCTCGCCCGCTTTCGCCCTCCCAGACCTGCAGCCCCGGCAAGACCACGAGCACGCCCCCTGCACCCCGCCCGAGCCTGCACCCCTCCGGCCACCCCTCCGTTCCCGGCCCCCCCTCCCCCCCTGGGCGCGCACCACTTGTTGCGCCGCATGTCCACGACATCCCGCACGACAAAGCGGATGCGGCTGCTGAGCTCCTTGGCGTCCTGCAGGCGCTGCAGGCGCGCCATGTAGCCGTCCAGCGCGTCGCGCGTCTTCTTGTCCTCGCTGGCGGCCAGGGCCTTGCCCGAGATCGTGATCATCTCGCACGCCGCCTCGATAGAGTCCTGGGGGGGGGGGTGGTCAGGGTTTCCGCGGTCAGGGGCGTCCCCGCGGCGCCGTTGCCAGGACGGGCCGGCTGGCGCGGCGCACCGCACCGCACGCGTCGCGCGGCGGTCCCCAGTCCCCGCCTGCCTCGTGTCAGCCCCGCGCACAGGCCCCAGCCACCAGCGCGCCGAGTCACGCTCTCGCCCCTTGCCCTCGCCTCCCTGTGCGAACTGCCGCGCCCCGCCCTGCCAGCCCCCCCGAGACGCGCATCGCCGCTCCGCCATGCCTCACTGCATCAAACGCCGCGCCCCGCGCCGCCCCGCCCCGCCAGCCTCGACACCCCCCGGCCCCGCCGGCGCGCCCCCTCACCTCTGCCGGCACGGACTTGGGGTTCGCTGCCTCTAGCAGCTCCCTGATGCACACCAATATGATGTTCTCCTTGACGACCTCCTGCCTGTACAGCTCAGCAATCAGCCGCACCGTGCCCATGGTGCGCGTCTTGACGCGCTTCTCGGCCGCGGCGCGCTCCTGCGCGTCACTGATCTGCTGCAGCTCCTGTGGAGATGGGCGGGGGCGGGTCGGAAGCGGGTCGGGAGGGGCGGCAGGCGGGGTGTGAGGGCGAGGTAAGAGGGCGAAACGAAGAGGGCGGGGCTGTTTGCGACGCAAGGCCCGGGCCAGCGACAAGAAGCTGCGCGGCACGCGCAAGCCCGACGGCTCGCGCCGCCGCAGCACCGTGTGTACCCGCCGCCGTCACAGCGAGGGGGGGCGCGTCGCAGCAGCTGCGGGCCGCCGCTGCCGCCGGCGGCCCCGGCCCCGGTCCCGCCAGCCGCCCCGCGCCGCGCCGCGCCGCACCTCCCGCGCCTCCGCCACGCCCTCAAACTCGTCCTGGCACGTGTTCAGCAGCATGCGCTTGAACTTGATCGGCCGCGTGTCGCCCTCGCCCGGCGGGAACTCGGGCACCTCGCGCGACAGGTGCAGGCAGAGGTCGGCATACATGGCGCAGAACGTGGGCTGCGCGACGGCCGACTCAAACACGAGCGCGATAGTGGCCTTGAGGATGGCGGCGTTGGTGATGACGGAGAGCAGCTGGGCGAGCAGGCGGTCAAACTTCTCGGGCGTCAGCTTGTTCAGGATGCCCTTGACCGAGCGGATCGCCTGGGGCCGAGGGGCCGCGCACGCGCGCAGGTGTGTGTGGGTGAGTCGGAGCATGCGTGTGCATGCGTGTTTCAGGGGGTTCAAAGGTGTACGCGCCAACATCCCTGATGTGCCAATGGGGACTCGGAGGCGATGTGGGCGGCTGCGCATCAACACCGCTGCCGCAACTGCTATGAGCGCCCTGGACTTGGGGCTGGCCCCCCTTGCCATGACACGCTGCCATGATGCATGCATCTGCAGTGCGTGATCGCCGCAGCTGCCAGCCGGCCGGCCGCAGCCGCGCCACAATCGGTTGTGGCTGGCCGGCCCGTGCGCGGAAGCCGCACGGCAACGCCCGCTCACAGCGGCAGCTGCGCTCGGGTCTGCTGTCCACTACCCACGCCCCGCCGGCCTCTCACCCTGTCATTGCCCTCCACCGCCGCGCCGACCACGTACTTTTGCCGCCCGAGGTCCTCTGCCTTCTGGATCTTCGGCAGCTCCTGCGGACCCCGGGACAAGGATTGTCGATGCGGCAGGGGACAACCCAGAGTCGCGCACGTTCGACGCAACCAGGGCGGCCTGTAAGCAAGACTGCATTGACCTTCTGCCGCTCGCTTGGGCCCTCGCCACCTTCGGATAGCCGGCGGACGCAGGCCAAACAGATTCCTTCACAGCCCCAGGTGCGTGCCACGCGCAGTGATCAGTGGCATGCGGTGACCGGCATCCGTGCGTGCCAACAGGGTTCGATGCTGCTGCGCGCTCAGACAAGCTCACCTTGCCGCCCTGCCACTGCTGCTGCCCCTGCTGTTTGCCCTGCTGCTGGGCCTGCGCCTGCTGCTGACCCTGGCCCCCGCCCGCGTTCTGCGCCTGCTGCTGCTGCTGCGGGCCCCGCTGCTGCGACCTCTCCTGCTGTTGTTGCTGCTGCTGCCCCTGGCCAGAGGCCCAGGCAGGCTCGTCTGACGCTGGGGCGCGCGAGCGCCAGTCGCGGTCGTCGACCTCCTCGGCCACGCGCTGCAGCGACTGGCGCTGGACGTCGCGCTCAGACTCCTCAGAGATCACAATCTCCAGCTGCAGCTGCTGCAGGTCAATTGGGCACTTGGTGTACTTCTGCGGAGAGTGTGGAGGGCAACCGGCGTCCCGCGTCGGCAGACTTGCAGTGTCACACCGCGCGCGCGCAAGCAGCGCGGCACCGGCGCTGCAACCGGAGCCGTCACATCGCTGCCGACCAGGTTTGTACCCCCTGCGACCCTGATCACGATCCATGCCTTCTCCGCACCTCCATGAATCGCAGCAGGAACTCTTTGTTGTACCGAATGACCTGCCCCGGAGGCTTTTTGGGGCCCTCGGCTGCCACCGCTGCGGGGGCGGAGGCCTGCGAGTGACAATGGAGGGATTATAACTCTGCTGCATCCACTGCGAGTGCGATCCAGGGCAGGCACAGTGAGCGCCGGCGGGCACTCACGATTCTGCTCCTGAGCGCATGGCCAGCTCCCTTGCCAAGGGCAGAGAAAGGCGAGAGTGCCGCGCCGCCGGGGCGCAGGGAGATGTTGCCCCCTGGCCGCAACGACACTTCCTCCATCTAGCTGCAGGCCGCCTTCGATGAAGGCGATCTGTGCCGACCTCGAACGAGCGAGGCGAATTGCTGAAAATCAACACGATGTAAGCGAGTGACGCACGACAAGACTCGGACGAGAGGGCCCGTCCCGGGCAACCAAGGGGCGCCGAGTGTCAATGCGAAATCGAGTGCGCCTCAGGGGTTCACCCACAGCCAAACAATAGTCAAGAAACGAGATCAATTCGTATTGATTGCGTAGAGCCCTACTTGTGGCCAGTGCGTGATGGCAGTGTCGGAGGGGGGGGGGGGCTGGCTCACATGATGTGGCGCCCATCATGATATATATGCGCCGCTCCCCGACCTCCAAACCCAACATCCATGACGTGCCACCACAAGCTCGCCGGTTGAAACATCGATATAATCTATCAGCCCCACACACCTGCAGTTGTCCAACTGCCATCAACCAGGTTCCTGCCAGTTTTGCCTCGCTAGTTTTCCCTCCGCCTACTGCTAGTTGGTGTTGCATCCCGGCCTAGCGCCATGCCACCATGGTGGTCCACTCAAGGTTTGCAGGCCCCTGGTCACTGCTGGTGTATACGAGTCTTACACCAGGGCAAGGTCCGGCACCGACACGGCCCGGTTCACAGCAGCTGCAAACAGAATCAGGCGGGCGACAGAACCGGTGCCACGTCGGACTGGAGTGGGGAAAAAATCCATGGAAGAACTCTCCACCGATGTACATGAATTACAGGAAGCCTTCCACATCGTGGCTTTGGCTGCTGCGCATGCGTGCACGTGCATTTCAAGCTGTGCTGCGTTCACAAGGTCAACCCTGTGAGGACCGCCTCTACTCACTTTTTCAGGCAAAAATGAATGTGTCGACAAGTCAATTGGCAATGTTGACAACCGGGCTGAACAAAATTCAGGGCTGAGATAAGATCTACCAGCGTGCCGACCCATGGCATCTGAGCAACTGCCCAACAGAATGTCGGCAAATGCTAAAACTTGTGACCAGAGGCCAGGATCCTTGTGATGCGCCATCAAGCTGTTGGCGCGACCAGGATCAGCCTCCAACCACCTTTGCTGTACGACTCACACGCTAGTGGGCAAGTCAATGTCGCCCTTGCGAAAGCCGAAATATGGCGCTCACAGACCCGGGAGCTGAAGCAGCAGCTGTGGCTGCTGCGGGAAGCCAGCCATCCCCAGCAGCGCTGTCAGCTCTGCAGCAGCCTGCTCCTGGTGCGATATCCATTGCTGCTGCTGCTGCTGCTGCTGCTGCTGTTGCTGCTGCTGCTGCTGTTGCTGCTGCTGCTGCTGCTGCTGTTGCTGCTGCTGCTGTTGCTGCAAAAGCCCCTGGTGCTGCTGCAGCTGTGTGTGCTGCGCCTCTGCCAATGCCACTGCTAGCGCCTGCTGTGCCGCGGCGGCAGCAGAGGCCGCCGCCGCCGCCGCCTGCTGCTCCTGCTGCTGCTGCTGCTGCTGCTGCTCCTGCTGCTGCTGCTGCTGCTGCGGTCGCGTGCACGCATACGATGCCCACGTGCACGCCAGCTGCAGCTCCGCCGCTGCGCCCTGTCGCAGGTGCAGCAGCTCGCTGCCACAGGCCGTGAGCGCGTACAAGATTTCCTCCAGGGCCCGCGCCGTCGCGGTTGGCGTGTGCCGAAGCGCGGTCTCGCGGCCTGCGGCACGAAGGCGGGCGCTGAGCACGTCGTCCGCCAACAGCGACAGTAGGTTGCGTGCCAGGCCTGCAAAAGGGGGGGCGCGGAATGCAGGCGCCGCGCAGCATTGGGCTCTACACTTCGTGGTCGTAGCTAGCAGCACCGAGCCATGCGCAAATGGCAGCCTCATCACGTCGCCGTTAGACGGGTCCTGGCACCAGCAGGCAGCCCTCTTGAAAGGCTCGTGCCGCCTCCCAGGCGGCGCACTACCTCATCTCCAACACCACCCTCGCCTGCAATAGACCCCCCTCACCCATCGCGTCGTCGGGCTCTGCAATGAGGCAGTTGACGCCGTGCTGGCAAAAGCTGCGCACCCCCAGGCAGTCTGTGGTGACGACAGGCACGCCAGACGCCATGGCCTCGAGGACAGGCATGCCCCAGGCCTCGTATCTGGATGATTTATAAACCCGTTGGTGTCAAGTGGGTGTGATCAATCACACAGAAGAAAGCAAACAACGATAGGGTGCCTCATGTCGCGTTAGCAGTGCCCTTCCCGCTGCCGCAGCCACGCGACGCTGCACCTCATTTCGTCAAAAGCAGCACTTGCAAAGTCAAATGAGGCGCACGGTGCCTGTGCTTGCACACCTTTATATCTCGTCATGCCGCTATCATGCATGACCTCAGATGCACATCATACAAAGCATGCGCAGCACGCTGCCAACTGCTACGCACCTGCTTGTGAACATGAAAGCGTCATGGCCGCGGTACAGCCGCGGCAGCTCGTCCTGCCCGGGTGCCACCACATACTCAATGTCCAGGTCGCTGCCCGCCAGGTTTGGGACGAGAGCGTCGAGCGGCCGCTGCTGGCAGACCCACCGGATGTGCAGCGGCAGGACGCGCGCGGCGGCGGACAGCGCGGCGATGGCCGTGGGGAACCCCTTCAAAGGGAGGGTGGGGTTGCCAACGAGCAGCACCGTGCGCGGCTGGACGGCAGTGAGGCGCTGCGGGGCGCACACAAAGGCGGGTGAGGAAGGGGCCGGGTGAGAGCACTGCAGCAGCTGGGGTCTGCGTGCAATGGAATGGGTGCCAGCCAGTCGCGCAGAGCGCAGCCATGCGCAACGCAACCCAAGCGTCAGTTGCGACAGGCCCCCCACCAAGCGCCGCTCACTCCTTGCAGCGACACCGTGCGCGCCTCCGGCGCCTCCGGCTCCCGCCGGCCCGGGCTGAAGCGCTCGCAGTCAATGGCGTTGGGCAGCAGCAGCGCCCTGCGTCCAAACTCTGACCCCAGGATGTCCTGCACCGCGCTGGACACGCCGGCCATGGCGCACGGCAGGTGCATCACCATGTGGAACAGCTGGCGGCCAGGAGTAGAATGCGTACGCGGTCGTGGGCGGTGTGGGCGCTCTAGGCGGCTGCAAAGGAGTTCATCAGTAGGATGGGGCCGCTCGGGCCGCATGCAGTGCTCTCCAAGCCATGCTCTCCATATTTCGCCGTTTTATGACAGTCCACAAGCATCCCTGGCCCATGCACTGCTCCAATATGAAAGCACGCTCGGCCCCAATCCGCTGTCACACGCACCATGTCCTGCTTCAAGTAGTTTTGGGCGACCTGGAAGCGCACAGGGTCGCCAAACAGCCACTCGTGCCCCTGCTCCCAATACAGCACCGGCGCCGCCACGCCCACCAGCATCTCTGCCACCTGCGACCCGGGGCAGGGGCGTGATAGAGGGGCGGCGCACCGCGGCGGCGCACGTGTCGCAACGAAGAGGGGGGCAACAGGATTGCTGCTGCCCGGCAGTGCTGCGCGCCTTGGGCCCGCGCCGCACGGCTCGCACGCGCGGCATGCAGCCGAAAACCGCGGCCCGCGGCCCGACGGCGCCCCTGCCCTGCGACGGCGCCTGGTAAGGGATGGGCCAGGGGCCCGACGCCCGACGGAGTGGCGTCTCATGCTGGATGCCAATGCTGCATACACACCTCCCATGCCAGCCGGCCCCACGCACCTGATGGTAAATCCCGACCACCACGACGTCGATGTCAGAGACAGGGTACACGTCCGCCAGCCGCTGGTGCATGCGGCACAGCACGTCTGCGTGCGGGACCACGGCCGTCCATGGCGGCATGGCGCTGCGCGCCGCGTCGGAGCGGTGGACGGCGATGGTGAAGTGGCCGCGCGCGCGCAGCAGCGCTATGTGCTCAAGCAGCATTTTCATTCCGCCGGTCACATTGTGGTGCGGCAGAACGTAGGCGATGCGCAGGGGCCGGCTGGGCGCAAGTAGGCCGCGGGCGACTGCATCGTGCGCGCGCGCGACGAGGGCATCGGCGGCGTCGGCCGGCCGTCGGCCTTGGCGCTCGCGCCACCCTGGCGGACAGCCGCAGCCGGCATAATGGAGCGTCGACTGGCCGAACGGCAGCATGGCTGGTTCAGGTCGCTGCAGTGCGCTGGAAATCGGCTTGGGTGCATCCAGCGTCATCATCGGCGGGGCCAGGAAACCAACGCCGTGCGCGGATGCGAGCAAGCCCGGCTGAAAGTCCAGCATGGCTGCTTTGTAGTTCTAGGCCCCGCGAAAGACCACATCGCGGGACCCCATGATTCGCAGGACACCACTGGCAACCTCGCACTCAGTCCAGCACAGACGAGCTCACAATTCAGATCAATAACGAAGTGCTTGTTGAGGCCTGGCAAAAGAGCCTTCGATTGCGCTGACGGCCAAGAGTGAGTCAGTAGCTAGCGGGCTGAGCACAGTACGGTACTCCAGTGGATGATACGATTCGTTAAGTGAACAGGATGATGTAGTCTGCTGCTTGATGGCTAGAGTGGAGAGCCGACCTCGTGAAGCCCCAAGGCTCAAAGGCCTAGCCGCCCTGTCACCGGCCTTCCTTGGTGACTTGCTGAATGGGACGGGGAGGGACAAGTGGCTTTGCATGCAGTCACCCCTGCAATGTTGTTGTTTTCGTCATGCAAATGCTGGGGCACAGTGAGCCTCGGCTTGGTGTCCTCTTGGTGCCCTGTGGTCAATCACAAGTCAACTTATTAGCTCTCAGATTCCTTGCCCCATGGTTCTGAGAGCTGCCCATACGCTGAGCGGTACGATAGGATACAATGAAGTGCAGTTTTTGGTAAGATGTGGTGAATAAATGCTACGCCGCGCCTTGATTACACGTATTCATACATGATGTCTTTGAAGTACCTCACGTTCTCAGCGATAGCGCAGCTTTTTGCCCCCTGATCAAGACCATATCAAGCAGTTGATGGCAGCACAAAGGTTGGCGGGCTTGCATGCTGGCATGCGTTATGAAAAACCGAGCAGCAGTGGATTCCGGCTGCGGGCGCGCATTTGGCTGTTGCCTTGGCCTGTTGGCACGCGCCCTTCCGCGGACAAGCAGCTGCCTCGGTGTCGGCAGCAAGAACAGTGGCCTTCAGCACGTGCACACGAGGTGCCATCAAACCAACGCTGTGATAGTGTGTCGCGACAGCATCTCAATTGCATCTCAAATTCCTGGGCCAATAGCAATTTCAGTGGGGCGCCAAATTTGGGTGTCGTACCGCCCGAACATTGGCACCTGATTCCGGTTGGGCTTGCCTGAGCCGACCATAGCTGCTCCAATATCTGCATGTACACAGCGTCACATGCTGCAGCGCAGGCAGTGTCTCAAGACAAACAGCGGTTGTGCCGCGCAGCTGCTCAATTGATCAATGCGCACCCGCCTGGTCCCGCTGTGGCACGATGGCCGCCCATCCTCGTCGAAAGAGCAGCGGGGATGCGGAGTGCTAAACAGGCGTGCTGATGCCACCTGGGCTCGCGTGGACGTGCCAACATTCGTGTCCGTGTCCCGGCGAGTGCCCATTGGCTCCTGCCTTCGATCCCAAGGATGGTGGTCGCGACCGTACGTCGTCGTGCGCACATACATATGTTGTGTTCACTAGCTGTTCACGGCGTTACAGGGCGAATCATCACTGTCACAAGCAGCGGTGCTGCACACAAGAGGCGTTCAGCCTCTGCCTATGGACCGGTTGAAGGCCCCGTTCAGCCTTGGATTTGGAAAAGCAACTGAGAGCCTGGCCCCACAAATAGCGCAGGTTCGGGGCAGGCTTGCCTCCGCACCAGCGTTTCTCTCCTGTAGCGCATGCAGCGGCTGACGGTGTACTGTGGTATGCAGGGATCTGGACCTAAAAAGACAGCTGCAGTCGCGCCCGTAGTTGGAGGTGCGGGAATGGGAGGGGCATGCAGTGCAGCCTCGCTTGTGCTTTGGGTATGTTGGTCCCTCCTCACCCCACGGTCCACGTTGCAGGTGGCGAGGCCATCTCGGCTTTGGGAGTGGCGACAAACGTGAGCGGGGGCACTGCTGGCCTGTGCTCGCCGATTGCCAGCTCGCTGACCGAACTCGTCCCTGCCCCTCGCAGGCTGGGATGAGCAGCCTTCCCCAGCCCCCGGCCCCAGAGGCCGTGCCGCAGGTATGGAGTGTACCGGGTGGCCTCCTGCACTGAAGCGGGACTTCTAGGACTCGTCACCCGCCGCGCGCTGGTGGTGCGCTTGTTGCAGACATCTGTTGCCCGTATGCGAAATGCGATGCGTTGTTGCCGGTGCGCTGCCGCCTTTTGACAACGTTGCGCGCAGCAGGGGATGAAGGAGCTCACGCTAGAGCAACGGGAACAGCAGCGGTGTCAGCAGCAGCCACCTCCCCCGGAGCAGCAGGTGAGCAACTGCTGTTGCCGGCCAGTGCAGCGACAGATTGGCCAGCCTTGAGAAGCTAAGACAGCATTGCTGTCTTGCAGTCCTTCTGCATATTAGAGGGCTATGATCAGCAGCATGGAAGCGGCGTTCCAGCGGCAAAGCGCGCGACAGGGCGGCTGAGCACGTTCCTGTGGGTGACGCAGGCGCTCGGCGGCCCATTTGCTTCGCAGATCTTCGAGGGCCGAGTGGTTGACAGCGAGGGCCGGTCAGGCGGCCACGTGATCACTGCGGTGGCGGGATCGGGCGCCAGCAAGCAAACATACAACTTTGCGACAGAGCGGGTCGTCGGAAACGGCTCCTTCGGCGTCGTGTTTCAGGCAACGTGTCTCGAGACAGCGGAGACGGTGCGTGGCTGTCGAAACGAACCTGGCGGGCAGCTGTGGTTGCGACTTTGGCCGGGGTTGCGGCTGGATCTGGGGTCTGTGCCTGCGGTCACCGCGCAGCCTAGGGCGACGTGCAAGCTGGCACACCCAACTGTTGCAGCAGAGTTGTCCCTGCAAGCGCGTCGCGCCGGGCCTGCAGCCTTGCTCCCTGCGAAGGGGCCGCGTGTAGCCGCTGCAGAATCATTGGCAGGCCTCGCAAGCAGCGGCACGGCAAGTTTGAGAACTTGGCGCGGTCTATTCCTGATTTTGTGTGCCGCCTCGAAGCCTCCCGCCCCTGCGAAAACCCGCCGCTGCTGCCGCCGCTCTGGGGCGATCCAGGTGGCTATCAAGAAGGTGCTGCAGGACAAGCGGTTCAAGAACCGGGAGCTGCAGATCATGAAGGTGGTGGACCACCCCAACATCGTGAAGCTCAAGCAGTGCTTCTACTCGCAGACCGAGAAGGACGAGACCTTCCTGCACCTGGTGCTGGAGTACGTGCCTGACACAGTCTACAGGTAGTGGGACGCGGCAGGGGAGTGTGGGAGGGGCCGCAGCGTGTGAAGATCGGTCGGCGTGGTGGGCTGGCCTGCGGCTGAGGCGTCGGCGCAGCTCCCTGCGGTCGCGGTGCAACTTGCCGCGTCAAAGGGCCCCGGTCGTGAGCGGCGGCGCGGCAGCAACCCTGGGTGTCGGCGTGGACAGCCGCGGCGGGCGCTCGTTGGCTGGCGCTCCATGCAGCGTGCACGGGAGCGGCCGAGCACGATCTTGCTCTTGCCTGACTATGGTGTCCTGCTGGTGGGACCTGCATCCCTCAGGATCAGCAAGTCCTACAGCAAGAACAACCAACGGATGCCGCCCATATTTGTCAAGCTGTATACATACCAGATGTGCCGCGCCCTCGGCCACATACACAAGTGAGCGGCCGCTTGCACCGCGCAGGCGCCTCGCGGGCCAGTGCTGCAGGCTTCACAGCTCCGACCGCTTCAAGGCAGGGTGGGGAAAGGCAAGCGGTTGTTTAGTGGTGGTTATTGTTGTTGCAGCACTGACACGCCGACCCCTTTTGTGCTGGATGTGCTGCAGGTATGGCATCTGCCACCGGGACATCAAGCCGCAGAACCTGCTGGTCAACACAGAGACGCACCAGCTCAAGCTCTGCGACTTTGGCAGCGCCAAGGTGGGTGCATTCGAGAACGGACACATGTGTGGGCAGCCCCTCGCCTAACCAAGTCAACAGCAACAATAGGCAGCAACAATTGACGAAGCGACAAGGGGCCAGTGTGATGGTGCGTGGTGCAGCGGCGGCAGCAGCAGCCGCAGACAATAGGCATCTGAAGCACCGTGGGTGCTTCCCTTGTGCCCCCCCCCTTGATGCCTCACAAAGGTGCTGATCAAGGGGGAGCCCAACATAAGTTATATCTGCAGCCGCTACTACCGCGCCCCCGAGCTCATCTTTGGCGCCACCGACTACACGAGCGCAATCGACGTGTGGAGCGTGGGCTGCGTTCTGGCGGAGCTGCTGCTGGGGAGCCCCATGTTTCCGGGGGAGAGCGGAGTGGACCAGCTGGTGGAGATCATCAAGGTACGTGATATATGTGTGTGTGTGTGTGTGTGTGTGCATGCACGGGTGCTTGCATGCGTGTCATGAGTGGTGATGTGCGAGGTTGTGGTTCTACACCCTGCAGGGGTTGAATTGGATCATGGCAGCGGCGGGAGGCGCTGCGCTGGATTCGCACAGCCGCTGTACAGCAGGGGAGCGGTGCTTGGGATCTGCTGTTCCAGCAAGATCTGGCAGTTGCCTGGATTGGCGAACCCCCACCCCCCGCTCTTGACACGTGTGCAGTGGTCCATTTTTGGGGTTCAACTGGCGCCCCTTGTTGTGAGCTGCTGCCAACCGCCAGCCCAGGCACGTGGGCGCGCAACCCTCAACCACCCCCGGCCGCTGACAACCACAACGGCAACGCACCAACCGCAGGTCCTGGGCACCCCCACCAAGGAGGAGATCCACGCGATGAACCCCAACTACACGGAGTTCAAGTTCCCCCAGATCAAGGCCCACCCCTGGGCCAAGGTCTTCTCCAAGCGCCTGCCCCCGGACGCCGTCGACCTCGTGTC